ATATGTTAATGCTTCACAATTAGTGCAATGTTTTATCACATTACAATAGAGTGTGAATAATGGAAAATCAATGCATAGCAACAAATCGAAATCCAAATCGAAGTATGGTATTCGAAATGAAATTAAATGAAATGTATGAGGATATCTGCATTAAATTTACTCAAATTTATAAAGCGACAAACATCAATGAAATATAATAAATAATGTATATATTTAATTCATTTCATCTACCTTGCACATATAAARTGAGGTAATTAATTTAATAGAATTCGTGGCAATGCCAACTATTTAGAGCCATTTGACAGTCGTAAACAGCAGCTCGTCTTAGTTAACAGCCCTGAGTTGCCTCAAGGTATGCTTCACTCGGCTTAAATCATTCGATGCGTCCGCCTGGCGCAGGTAGCTAATTAAATGCTAATGAAATGCCGCAGCTGATATCATTGTCTTTTAAGCCAAGCCAGCCGAGTTGCATTAAATACTCTGTTTAAGAGTATACTTGAATGGGGTAGATGTGGGTATGCTTTCCATTTCCTGCTGTCTACTTAATTCTATGAATTTAAGAGTCTATTCTATATATTTGACATTAATTAGGAGTAGACTTACCCGGGGTATCTCCAAGTCATTTAATACTCTTTGCTATCTACTTAATTCTTATATTCAAAATATGAAATATATTCCGTAGTAGATATTTTTGATTGACTAAGAGGCAGAGGAGTCCGGGTATCTTCAAGTCAGTCAACAGATGTTAGCTCTCTACTAATACTCTAAGAGTGTATTTAATAAAGTTGAATATATAAAGTATATTCTGTTCTAGATATTTCACATTCACAAAGCTTTCTGTACTCAGCCCAAGTATTAGGGTATCTTCAAGTCTAGTCCGGGTATCTTCAAGTCAGTCAACACTCCCAGCTCTAGCTTTTAATGTCATTCAATATTTTCTTGCTTTTATGAGCGAGTTGGTTTTATGGCCAAGTTGAGCTCTCTTGCTACATACTTGCATATCTTTCTATACATACATACATATAAATACCTGAGTAAATCCAGGTAATTTAATTTTTAATTACATAGTTTCGTCAGCATCTGAACGAGTGCTGCTCATTAGGCAGGCGATTTGTCTTTGGGTAAATCAGTTTCGTTTTATTGATTGCCAATTGCCAGTTGGCTCTTTTGGCTTTTATGCGCATTATTATGCAATTGGCTGTTGGCCAGGCTAATGCATTTTGGCCATTTTGCATGTAATTGAACTGCTTACATTGCGACTACCAATTAGCCAAGAACAGCAGCCGGCAGCCGGCAGCCATGGCGAAGTAGTCCAAGCAGAGCGCCCAGTCTCGACTTCATCAATGCCTCGGCTCGGTTCGGAGGCCTGCGCCCCAAAAATTTATTGCTCAGCATTTTTGGCCTATTAATTATGCGACTGGCGTAGGTCCCGGACATGCCAGACAAATTTATATAACTGGAGAGGCCAAAAATCGTATTTTAGCTAAAGCTCAGTCGAAGCGCGTTAATAAATTTGCACAGACATTGCATAGCTGCCGAGCTAGGCAACACTATATCCTGCCATATACTGCATCCTGCAGCTCTGCCCTCTCCCGCCTCACTCTCTCACTATTTCCCTTTTCCTCTTCTACGCGCTGCGCAAAATGATTTAAAGAAGCGAAATGTTTGCACAGTTTTGCAGCCCTTTTAATTTTGATTGCGACTATTTATTAATGCTCCGCTCGCAGGATGTTGGCAGGCTCACAGGATAGCCACGCCCTCGGGGCAGCCACCACCGGCTCTGCGGCGCTGCGCTCCATTTAAGCTGCAATGTAATTTGCAGCACTCGTTGCGTTTGTTAAATGCAACATTTAAACTCAAATTAATTTAAGTTAAAGAATTCAAATAAATAAAATATGAAAAATATAAAAAATTACAAAAATATGTTACACATTTTATGAGTTGGCTTTAATGCCCTGTAATATGCTTGCAGTGGGTATAATGTGTTGCTATGGCAGAGAGTTAATGCTGGCGGCTTAATATGCTCAGGGTTTTCGCTTCTCAAAACCTCTTTAATAACCTATATTTCCCCATATATTCAATCCGAATTCCTAGGATTTATCCGACAGATTGAAGCATATATTTCTCCATATTCTCTATACTCTATATATAGCACTCTAAAACAGGGCATCTTCTAGTTGTTCCCTCCCGGCTGTCTCGTCATTTTTTTGGTCTGATTGTTGGTTTACTGCTATTTGGTTAACTGGTTGTCTCTGGCAACGTTTCCTCCGTTTGTCAGGCGTGAGAATTTAACGATGTGCGTGCCTCAAAGTATTTTCTTTTTGTGAGAATAAAAAACGTTAACACGTATATATGTATATACATAAATTCGTATACATTTAAATTAAATGGCAGCATTCGCTAATTAGAGCGAAAATGTGTTAAATAGAAAAAAGAAGCTGATTTAATTATAGATCTGTAATTAGTGCGGTATTCGCTCGACGGAAGCTGGGAAAACTTCAAATCATACAAAATAAATATGGATGAGTGAGTGCCTATTGAAATGGGGAATAGGAATTTGCATTTCTGCTATGCATTGAATTTGTATTACAAATTTAAGCGATAAATCGTCGCATTGCTAATGGCACGAAAGTCGGCCTAAGCTAGTTGTATTCCCTCAGAACTCCCTCTTGAACCCGCCAACCCAAGTAACCAAATCTAATCTCTGCAGATTAAATTTCACTATTTCAAAGTCAATTCATTTGAGGTGAACAACAAAATGATTTTAAGTATAAATAAATTACCTTAAATTAAATTACAAGAGATACTGTGTATAAGATATAATAATACTATTATATAT